TGTGTGTGTGTGTGTGTGTGTGTGTGTGTGTGTTGTGTGTGTGCATGCTGCTCATAAGGGGATAAGGCTTGGATCCCACTATTGTTAGTGAGGCAATTTTGGGTAAAATTTCGGATCCCACAATGCACCGGGGCTTTCGGGACCCGAAACAAATTTTACCTGTGTCTACACACCATGTGCATCGTGTCGACTAGGCCGACACGCGCCGCGAAACGACACTTGGTTTGCAAAAGCAGCCAGCCCCCTGCCCTGTTCCCTAAAAGCTGCGAGCACCAAAAAACCAAAGGTTTTATTTTTTTCCGTTTACGGCAGCGCGATTGGGTCCGACGCAAATGGACCAACATATTTCGGCAGGATTTTTTATAAAGCCCCTCGAAGGACAGGCCTGTGGAGTTCAAAAAAAAAATTACGGACCGAAAGGCAAGGACCCTCCTTTCGAGGGGCTTTTCCGATTTTTTGTTAAAAGCGCCATGTGGGATCCACGCCTAATTGGTAGAAAGAGCTCACACCGAAACCTTTTCCGTTTTCGGCGCCCGAAACTAGGCCGTTCTGTACTACTGGCCAAACGTCACCTTCCGGGCCGACATCTCCCTGGGCCTATTTTTACCGTTTCAAAAAATTTGGCTCTGTTTTTGCGCCAGATTCATGAACCGGTAGGGCCCTTCTTTTTCGAAATACGGTACGCGGGCCTCATTCTATACTTCAGCAGTACCACCCTCGGCCTCTTTTACATCAAAATGAATCTGGCGCTGTTCTGCACCAGATTCATGATCCGGTAGTACCCTTGGAGGGACGCGTGGGCCTGTAGTACCCCACATGGAAATCATTGGGCCGGTAGTACCAATTGGTGTGGGCTCTTTCTACCAATTATCCCGCTCATAAGGGCATATCTCGCAGGAACAGGTGAAATGGGACTGGCAATCCAGTGAGGGCAACGCCGAAAGCTGCACCCCTTGGTGATAGGGGCATGCAGGAAAGTTCAGAGGCTCCAGGGGCACGACAGTGTAAGTTCTCCGTCAGAGGGTCGTGATGCAAAATAATGGAAATTACAGGGGGCGCCACTAGCCGGCAGCTGGAAAAGTAGGTTGGCCACAAAAAGGTGCGGACCGTGGCTGAAAACAGATTGGCAGATTTTGAGGCAACCCCACCGCCAACCACTGGATGGGTACTGGAGAACGGCCTGGCTTGCCCAAATAGGAAACTCGTGACGAGCCCTTCCGCAGAAAGAAAAGTGCACATGGCCCTTGTGAGCCAGCGGCCACAGGAGAGCACCGCGCCACAGCCATACAAAAAGGTACTGCCCGTTGTGGTCCACCGCAATGTCCTCGCCGCCCGAAGACTGCACCGCTCCAATCCGGCCGCGGGTCCCAAAGGCTGGCTCAACCCCCACCCTAGCCTGCTGGAGGGCCCGTTTGAAAACGATAGAAGGTTTTTGGCGGCGAGTTTTCCAGCCGCCAAGCGAGTGGAATCATGGGCAACCAGCTTTCCAGAGGATCAGTGGGGTCTGGAATGCATGTTGGCGTCCCCCAAAAACTTCTCCTAGCGTCCTGGTGGGGTCCCGAAATGACGCCGGCGGTAAACATTTTCCACTATGCCGGCCAGTGCGGTCCAAGCCTAAGAGGTGGACCCCACTGCCCGGCGGCTGGAAAACCAGCGAGGCCAAAAAAAACGGCCCACCGTCGTTGGAACGTGTTTGGCAGATTTTGTTGGTACCCCACCGCGACTGCAAACTTTGGCATTGGAAACGGCCGCACTTACCTGAATAGGGAAACTTAAGAGGTCGGATCCGAAAAAGGAAAGATCGGTAGGGGCACCAGTCCACGGCCTTCCGTTGTGCCTGTACCAGGACATGTCCGAGTGTGGCTGTGTGTGATGCGGTGTGACATGTGTCGAACAGGTGCCATGCGGTACACAGGCTGCTTATTGGTCGCTTCCCCGCGGCGGTGCCCGTACGGGCAATGAAATGAACGTTGGGGCCATGGGTTGGGTTTCCCATCCTGCCGTTGGCACCGTCTGGATGCTGGGATTTGAGCAAATTGGGACGGCAGGTCTACTGTCTCCGCGCAACGACGGGGAGGGGCGAGAAGGGGATGATGACGACCCGCAGGTGAAGAAGGAAGACGTACTAGGTCTGGGAGTGGTGTTTCTTTTCGTGTTTGGACAAAGGTTGTGGGCATGCAGCGTTGGCCGGACACGTACGTGTCTACGTTGGGAACGCCTTCCCTGTATTGTGCCATGGAAACCATGAATCCTTCATCAGTGGCCTGTTCGGAAGACGAGTGGGAAGACATGCTCTTCATGTTCGTCTTCATAATGATGCACCGGGTCAACAGGCCTAATGCAGCGGCCATGGCCGTCCTTGAGGCTTTCGACATGACTCCTTTTCTCTTCCGGGACACGTCGGGGGCCATGACGATGCTTGTCGGTGGACTGCTTCACGACATGGCTCTGAGGGCGGCACAGGAGCTGGGGAGACGCATGACACGAAAATGACAATTGTGGGTGGTGGAGCGCAGTGGAGGTCTTTGGGAGGGCCTGCAGGGATAGGGAGCAGAGCACGAGAAGGTGTTCTTGCAGTTCTGCAGACTCCCACGACTGTTGTTCTTCGAAGTTCTCCAGCGAATCGGCCCGCATATCCAGCGTTCGCCGACGAATTTTCAGTTGCCTTGCCGGTCAGAAGTTTGCCAGTGCATTGATGAGGTGGGCGACAGGTGGGTACTACTGGCAATTCGACCACAGTTTGGGTATAGGGCTCGCCAGTGCGTTGAGAAGCAATGAAGACGTGGCCGATGCTATCATCCACGAGTACGGACATCTTCTGCAGTTTCCGACAGGACGTCGTCTTCAAGACATTCAAAACGCATTCGAGGCGTATCCATTCAACTGGGCGTTTCCAACAGTTTCCTGCAGTTTCTCTCTCTCTCTCTCTCTCTCTCTCTCTCTCTCTCTCTCTCTCTCTCTCTCTCTCTCTCTCTCTCTCTCTCTCTCTCTCTCTCTCTC